ATACTCCAATACTCCGACTCCGACTCCGACCCTCTGGTTCGCCCCATCTTTTATTTTTATTTTTCACATCACACCACTTCTTAATTAATTAATTAATTATTATCATATCATTCCTTTATTTATTTTATATCTCTGTTATGTCCATATTAGTACTTAAATACCCCACAGCCTAGCAGGGATCCCCATCCTTTCCTCTTTGGATCCCCTGCTAGGTGAGTCACTTGTAGATATCCCTTTGAAATATTATTAACTTTGGATCCCCTGCTAGCTTGACTAAGTCAGCGTTGCAGTTGCCCTAACAAAGATTCCATTCTTCCCGTTGCCTGTAAAACACTGCCTGGTCCACTGCACTCCTTTCAAATCCCATCTTTGTCATGATCTCTACCAACTTCTGATACCATCTCCTGCCTGACTGCTTCAGCCTGTACAACAGTTTACGAAGTCTGCACACTTGCATGCTGCCATTTGCGCTCATTACTTGATATCCAGGCGCCTGTTTCATGTATATGACTTCGTCTTCGGTGAGTTCCCCATTCAAGTAAGTGCCTTTGATGTTGATTTGACCTGTTTCATAGTCTTTTGTGGCTGCAAATGCTAGGACTGTTTGAATCGACGTGAGACGGGCAACTGGGGCAAACATATTGAAGTAATTGACACCTGGTACCTGCAAGAATTCCTGGGCAACCAAGCGAGCCTTGTAATGAATTACATTCCCAGCAGTGTCCTTCTTGATCCTGAATACCCACTCTGACCTAGTGATGTGCTGGGCCCGGCTCAAAGCCGGAAGCTGGGCCAAGCCGAGCCGTTTTAGGCCAGGCCAGGCCAGGCCAGGCCATAGGTGATGGCTCAGCAATGGCTTTGGCCTGGCCCAGGATAGCTCAAAGCCAAAGCCGGCAGCTCAGGCCATGGCTTTAGCACTAGATAATTTTTATTTAAGTTCACTACTAGCTACATTGCAGCTACATAATAAAAATTAAAAAATGAAACTGCGAGGTCACATGTTCTTGTTGATGCCAGTGCTTCGTCGCAGCTTCAAGTCTTCGACCTAGTTTTGTGATATGTACTCATCTGACAGCATCGTCAATGGATCCTCAATGTCTATTGCGTCTCTCGTTGTCTTGGTATCCTTGCATATTCACGCTGGCAACTTTACTCTGGGATCGGACCTCTGCTCTACTCCCCCATCTACACCTATCTCGAAGTCATAAAAAAAAATGTCCGCATCGCTCGCTATAATCAAGACCCTTGTTAAGGATATTATCACCCTCTCGAATTTTCTACCTTCCTCTGTTCAACAAGGTACAAAAGACGACAAAATATGGAGCGTGATGAACTCCGATGAATGTGATACACCACACAAAACATTTAACAAACATTTTGACGCTATGTTTGGGGAGGATTGCCGAGATTCTACAGGCCGTTTGCAATATATTCATAGAGGAAAGCTCGGTTTGGGTCTAGTTTCCTTGTATCTATCGAAAATTGACTGGGTGGATGGGTTCCCATTGGATATCGTTGAAATCAAACTGCAACGACTCGTTGCAGAACTCAAATATCTTCAGTACGTGGACCAATTTTGAGTATCTTCTATGCATTGATTTTTCTTATGACTGAAATGTCTCTAGTGGACCCAACCCGGATTCGACTGTCCAAACGCGGCCATCACGCCACACAGCGCCAACCTCAAAGTTGACAGATGCTAACAATGCAGCGCAACCCGAGCTCTCTTTCCAACGCAAAGCGGTACAGGATTTTTGCACACGCTCAGCCCAAGAAACCACACCTGTTGCCAACCCTTCTGTCGGTACCACAAATCCTACGACACTCAAGCGCAACTTGTCTGCCCTCGTTGATGTGGACGCTGAATATATCGAGTCTGATGGAGATGAGGAGATTGATGGCGCGTCCAAACCCGGGCCCTGTATGTTCATATCTCAAGTAATAAAGCTCAACTTACTTACTTTGAGCTCATGTTATAGCCAAAAAGCAATGTGTCACACATAAGACTGTTGGTACCTCCAAGAAGAAACATGTCATTCTCACTGACGAAGACACAGACGAAGGGGACAAAGTGGATGGAGAGCCGGGTCAAAGTACATGTACGTATGTTGCAAAATCTGTGCCTGTTTTTTCTGAAACTAGTTGCAGCCAAGAAGAAATGCACATCACTAGGAAATCCAATGGACCTCGACAGCGAAGGACTCCTTGTGGATGTAGATGTCCAGCCAATTCATGAGGACCCACCAACACATGAAGACAAACGATGCGACATCGACCATTTTTTTCATCCTGCAGTTTTAAAGAACATCAATGGAAATATGAAGAAATATTGTGCATGTAAACTCTGCCCGTATGTGTATCACACCTCAGTTTATGTTCACTAATAATAACCGCTCTTGCAGAGACAAAAAAAGTCTTGTAAAGTCACAACTTTACGCATCACATGGAGGCGCACCACTTGGTGAGTCTATTGCTAGTCCTTCACCCTCTCTTTTTGATTTCTCTTAGGGAAAATACCGCAAATGGGCTCAGGAAGCCAAGTATGAATCGAGGCTGCCAGGCGATATCAAGAAACGCAAGGCGGCAGCTGAACACATGACTCAGACGCTCGATCGTGACCTCAGAGAGAAGAAGCTCAATGAACGGGTTGTTCCATATACTCACAAGGCTTTTCATCAGGCTGCAATTGAGTGGCTAGTCGCTACTGATCAGGTAAGCCAGAGTTATGCCGTCAATTTAATACTAATGTGTTTACTTGTAGCCGATACAAGCCCTTGAACATCCAAAGTTCAAGGAATTTGTTGACCTTGCTGCGCGTGCCACAAACGGTGTGAAGATTCCTGGTCAAAAATCAACACGATCAGAAATCAAACGGACGTTCAAGGACCATCTCACAAGATTAAATGGGCAGCTTAATGTAAGGACACCCCCTTAGATGAATACTTCCTTCTCATCTTAACTAGGGTCCAACAGTCACCGGTGAAGTCAATTTGACATGCGACGCATGGCAAGCCAGCAATAGTGATGGTTATTTTGCGGTTACTGGCCATTGGATCGAGGAATCATCACCCACACAGTGGGAGCTCAAGACTGGCCTTCTTGGCTTCACACAACTCAACAATGCTCACAACGGCGAGCGGCTGGGTCAAGCCCTCTTTAAAATTGTCCAATGGGTTGGCATTGCGCACAAGGTAGGCAGATTGGTTCATATGACTTTTCACTCGCTGATACCTCATAGATTGGTCACATAACATGCGATAATGCATCTAATAATTCCACCATGATGCAGGAACTAGCTTTGCGTTTAAGGGCCGCAACTGGGAAAAATTATAATTGGCGAAAGAGGAAAATCAAGTAAGTCTTTGATGACGTTTGATTTACAATTAGACCTCTACTCATAATGGTTTGGCCACTGCAGCTGTCTCGCACACGTCATCAACTTGGCAACCCAAGCTCTTATATCAACATACAGTAAATCACCGCATTTCGACCCAAAGAATCCAGAAGTGCATGTGCCAACAAGTCAGGATGAGGTAGGATTAGTCAGGGCAATTGCGGTCAAGGTACATATTAAGCCACATTATTGAAGCAAGAACACTGATTATTGTTTAGGAGTGGTCATCGGCAAAGCAAAAAGAAATGTGGAAAACTGTTCAGGTCAAGGCTGGTATTACAAGACCGGTCCAACTTATCCTTGACATGAAGGTCCGATGGTCCTCAACCTATCTGATGCTTGACAGGGCTGAACGGAAAAAGACAGTGAGTACTCATGTAGGAATTCACTGACCCATTGGTACTTATGTTTCACAGCTTGTCGACACCTTTATCGATGAACTACGCTGGGAAGAAACTGACAGCTCAAAACACGACAAAATCCGTGTGCTTAAATTGGATGACGATGAATGGCAGCGTGTTAACATTTTTCTGGGCCTACTAGCAGTCTGTATATTTTATACTCTTATGGTTTAAAGCATCTGAAGCTTTGCTTAGCATGCTGACAATGCTCAGCAAGCATTTTCATCTGACCAAGCATCCACTCTCCACCTTGCTATACCCGCTCTTGAAGCTCTTCACAGAGCATGGTCATCTCGTTCTGCACATCCAAAGTATGAGCGATTTGCTCCTGCTCTCGAAGCTGCATGTATGAAGATTGATGATTACTACGAGAAGACAACGGATTCACCTGCCTATATTATGGCAATGAGTAAGCAGATAATTATTCTTCGTGTCAATGGTGGCCGGTGCTAATGTGACTCTTAGTCCTTAATCCCAAAGAGAAGATGTCTTATTTCAAGAAACATTGGTTGACAGAACTGCAGGGAGATGTCATGAGATGTGTTGAAGAAGTGGTATGAGATATTTTCTTGCGGTTTGCTTTATCCACTGACTTCTATTCAGTTTAAAGAACGGTATTTGCTACTGAGTAAGGATGCAAGCCCTCAGGAATCTACGACATCCAAAACTGCTAAGCCAGGGCTATGCACATTACTACGTGAACTCAGTGATGATGAAGACGACAATATGGATATGCGCTCCACCGTTTTAGAGGACCCTGATTGGCCATGGTCTAAGTACTTTCATGCGTACATAGACGCTAGCGAGCAAGTACCAGATGGCTGGTCGTCAATCAAATGGTGGGGGGTAGGTATTTTCACTTTATGGCTCAATCTTTAGACAACTCATGACTATAATTTTTTAGATTAATTCCTCTCGCTATCATCCTGCCTGGGCCTCGCTAGCCCGTGACTATTTATCAATCATGTCATCTTCTGTTTTGAGCGAACACACATTCTCACAAGGTGGCATTACTATCAGCAAACTACGAAACCGGCTGAAAGGAGATGTCGTTGAGGCTTTACAATGTGTAAAATGTGCAATCCGGCATGATTTACTCTTTCGGGAACCAGCTCCTTCTTCAATTCTCGAAGCAGATAATGGCGAGGATGGTGAGGATGATGGAGAAGGGTCTGAAACGGCCGAGGGTTGGGATGATTTACTGATTGAGGATGAGGATGATGGCCTGAGTGGGGTGGTCATTGAGTCGGATTTAGATTAAAAGAGCCATAGCTACCTGTAGCTACTGTCGTTACCTGTCTTATACCATAGTATGTATCTTGTCTGCTAAAAGCTGCGGCCTGGGCCAAGCCAAGCCTGAGCCAAGCCGGCTTTGGGGGCTTTGGCTTGGCCCAGGGTTTAAGAAAGCCAGAGCCGCCCAAAGCCAGCCCAAAGCCGTGGCTTTTGTGCCAAGCCAGGCCAGAACATCACTACTCTGACCCCACAACATTGACATCCTCAGGTAAGTCCACCAACTCCCACGTTCCAACTTCATTCAACATCACTAACTCCTCCTTAATAGCACTCTCCCAATGCAACCAATCTGGTCTCATCTTTGCTTCAGCCAGGTTTCGCGGTTCCAAAGCTTCAGTGTCTTTTATTTCTGCAGCAAGAGCATATTCGTCAATGTAATTGGCTATATTTGCAGCCCAATTGTCCGTTGGTTGCTGTATCCCAGGTGCAAGAACCGTTCTTTTTCCACTGCCTGACCACATTCCTTTCCCTCCTAAAAGGTCCGCTACCTTTTGAGTCAGTTTTCAAATCCTTTTATTCAATGCTTCAGCGTCTGAGGAGGGTTCTGGGGTGTCTTTGATGGGCAAGTCCTCTTCGTCAGGTAGATTTGCGAGGTTTTCAAAAGGTAAGTCATTGACTGTTTTGTTTTGCTTGAGCATCACTTGCTCCTCCTCAAAATGTTCGACTGACAAATTGTTATAGGTTACATTTTGTTCAACCGTGACTGTCCTGGTATCCAGCCAGTAAACTTGCACCCCTTTCAACTCCTCCTCATCTATCCCCAACCACCTTCCTTCCTTAACTCGTCCTCCTAACTTTGTACCACCCTCAATTATCACATACACCCACTCACCCCACTCTCTCAACCCCTTCAAGCTCTGTTTTGCCCAAATGCAGCCTCAAAAGGCATCATTCCGTCCACCGCCTTCGTCATGGTCCTGTTAAGCAACCACACAACATGCCTCACTGCTTCACCCCAAAGGAACTTCGGAAGACCACTCGCATGTAAGAGAGCACGAATCCATTCTCCTATGGTTCTATTGCATCGTTCAGCCACTCCAGCTTGCTGTGGGGTATCATGAACATTGAGCTTTTGACGCGTTCCCTTGGACTTTAGGTATTCAACGAATTCCTCCCCTTGATACTCCCCACCATGATCTGTGTTCAACTCTTTTATCTTTGCCCCCATCTGGACCTCTACCCATGCTTTGTATTGTTTGTATGCTCTGGGTGTTTTGTCCTTCGTCTGAAGCAAATACAGATGCGTCAAGCAGGTCTTATCGTCAATAAAGGTGACGTAGTATTTTTTTCCCCCTCTCAACTCAACTGGTGATTTCCCCCACAGATCCAAGTGTACCTCATCACCAAACCCCACCGCTCTCTCCCCTTTCCTAACCTTTGGGACTGGTTTCCTCGTCAACTTGGTGTAAACACACAATGCACAGAAGAACTTGTTCCCAAACGGCGTGTATTCAAGCTGAACTCCGGTAACCATTTTGTCTCTTGTGAGTTTCTGGGCGACATTGTATGAGATGTGGCCCATACATTGATGAAATAAGTCCAAGGTGAGTTTCTCCTCCACTGCATTTGCCATCCCTTCCTCATGCTCCACTTTATAGACTTTTGTCGATGTTCTCTTTACTTCTCCAATCACCACATTGTCTGGTCCTGTGACCATGCACTTTCCTCCTCCAATGTGGTAAAAAACCCAGCCTCGTCAAGGCGCCCGATTGATACCAATGTATAACTGACCTCGGGTGAGTATAGGACTTCAGTGAGTCAAAGTTGGGATGTTTTGACGCCATTAGGTATGTCTATGACAAGTTCTCCCTTGCCAATTGTGCTGAACGTCTGTTTATTTGCAGCGCAGAAATTTCTGGGAGTAATGTCCATGAAGGCCTCAAATTGGCTGCGATATGGCGAGATATGGTTTGTACATCCGGAGTCGTACAACTCAGTGGTTCCGATGGACTGGATAGGTTCCACTGCAACAAATGCCACTGTGGAAGTATCACCAAACTCCTCATTTGTCTCCCCTTTCTCATCTTCTTCCTCTCTAGCTTCCTCAAACCAGTCCACCATGCTTTTGCTGCCACTGAACTCTTCCTCCTCATCTCTCACAACATCTATATCAGCTTCAACTATTTCTTCCACCGCCCATGCACCTTCCTCTTCATCGGAGTTCACCTCCACTATGTTTGCAATTCCGGACAGCCCTGAACACTTCTGGTCGGATTTCTCGCCTGTGTGTCTATGAGGATCTCACCTGGGTTTTCTTGGCTCTTTGCATTCCAAACTAAAATGCCCCATTTCACCACAATTCCAGCACTCGATAGACCATTTATCTTGTCCTATCTTCCTTCTTGGCTCATCCACATTTACTGCTAATGCTTCATCTTTACCTTCCTCTTTTCCTTTTGTAGATCCCTTCCTTCTCTGCACTCTCAGGCCCTGATGCTCTGCCTCCTGCAATAGCATCGTCATCAATGCGTCTGCATCTATCGGTTGCTAGGTATGGTGCATCATCCAAGTCATTTGGGCCAACGCAAAGTTGGATAGTGCATCCAGGAGTGACGATATGATGGTTGAGATGTAATTATCATTGCTGATCTTTACTCCCACCTGCGCTAGTTCCTCCTTCTTCAACCTCAAATTCCTCAGGAATTCCTTTGCATTCCCCCTCTCCAAACATCACATTGTTAGAAACTTCGCCCTCAACTCCATTTGTGCACATATCCCCTTTTGAGTGTACTCTCGCACCACCAGCTCCCATCTCTCATGAGTCAACTCCTTGGAGCATATCTCCATCATGGTCAAATCAGGTAATCATTGAGTAAGTAGTGTTTTCGCTGAGTACTCGTTCTTCTCCCACTGGGTCTTCGTGGCTATCTCAGCAGCGGTCGGTTCAGTCGAGAGGATAGGAGCAGGACAAGATCCATTGAAGTTAGTGCTTGAAAGTCCGGTTAATTAACCGGAAAATAACCAAGACTGGACCGGACCTAACCGCAAAAAGACCGGACCGCAGTTAGTGGTTAGTTGATTCTGAAAATAAAATAACCGGTTATTTTGCGGTTAGCTAACCGTTAAAAAACCGGTTATAACCGGCTATAAACGACCCTATTATACCCCTTCAAAACGCACCCAAAAACGTGAGAAACGCTAAAAATCTGACTGAGTTATGGTCAAATATTTAAAATATTGGCCAAAAGTAGACTTTCAAGAATATTATCATAGCTTTGTCAATTCTTCATCAAATTTAGCGTTCTTGGGCTCATTTTAAAGCTACAATGCGTGGAAATAATGTTTATTGAGAGAAATATGTACGGTCTTCCCCGGTTATAACCGGTTTTTCATTTTTTCGGTCCTAACTGGTTAGTAACTGCAACTAACCGGTTTTGGTCAGTTATTTTCGGTCCGGTTAGGTTATTTTGGGCTTTGGAACAAAGCCTAACCGGTCTCGGTCTCGGTTAGAGCCCCTGGGCACCAAATAACCGGACCTAACTGGACTTTCAAGCACTAATTGAAGTGGCCCCAGAAACCCTTTGCCTGGATCGCGTCTTTGAAGCATACAAAAAATATAACCCAGTTTGCACCGTTGTTGTCAAGCTTGGGCACAGTTGATGATAGTAGATCAGATAATGACAAGTTGTTTGTAGACATTTTGAACAGAGATATTTCAAGAGGGCGAGGACAGTTAACGTGTTAAGCAGGTAGACTAGAACAATTTGTATCAAGACAGTTTCTTTTGCGAGTTGTGCGACAGTGTATCAGTTTCGTTGGCAGGATAAGGGATTTTTTCTTAGTTGCAATGGCCAGGGCCCATAACCTGTAAGAATAATAGCAAGAATGAATCAGATTCGATATGGTACATCAGTAATCCTGCATTTTAGTTTTTACTGGTTTCTGAACCCAAAAAACCGATAAAAACCGACAAAAACCAGGAAACTCAGAAACTTGGAGACCTAGGTCCCATTTCCCGGAAACCTCACATGTCATATATATATATATGTATTACATAATATTAATAAGAGTACGACCAGCAGACACCAGTGGGGTCAAATGAACAAAAAGTGGTGGCCTTATATAACTAAAAGGCCTCAGGGTTAGTTCACTAGAACATTCCATCAACATTGACAATCGGAACAAGTTGGAACAATGGAATATTCTGGGAGCTTCTACTGAACTAACCCTGAGGCCAGTTGATTATATATAGTGTTACCAAAGTTCGGTTCAGTTCGGTTCTTCAACTATTTTTGGAGAACCGAGAACCGAACTGAAAGGTTCCTGGATGAACTGAACCAGAACCAGAACCGGAACCGAAAGAACCGGTTCTGTCGGTTCTGTTCAGTTCGAGAACCGGTTCGAACCATCGAACCAATGAAAAAAAACCCCATTGCCAATGGTAATTTATTCATTATTACATTATTACTAGTAGCCTGATAAACTAAACTAAGTGGGTCCAAACTAGTGGTTAGTGTCTAAATGAGTGAGTTGTTCATCCATTGTAGCTTGGTATTAGAAATAAAATGACTGCCAGGTTGCTGCCTTTGCTGCCACTCATTCGTCGCCGCCGTTCATTCAGCCATCGCGAGTCCATTTGTTTGTCGTCCGTTTGTTGAACAAGTAGGCCGTCGTTGTGTCGTGCGTTTGCTGTTGTCGTTCATCCGTTGTACTCGATGCTCATTCAACACCATTTGCTCGTTATCATGTGTCTGTTGTAGTTTAAGTACATTAGAATTAATTTTAATTTGAAAAAAATACCTTCCAAGAGGGTGGGGCCGGTGGGCAAGCTACATAGGTCAGGGATTACTCTGATGGTTCCAAAAACGCGGGTCAAGCTGTCAACTTGAAGATAATGAATGATAAGGTATTTTATGAACCACGCTTACTGCTGCTTGCTTACCTGCTGCTTGCTTGCCTACTGACTGCCTACTACTTACCTACTGCTTGCTTGCCTACTGCTGAATCCCCACAGTATTCGCTGTAGTACCCGGTTCCATGCGGTCGA